CTAGTCAGTTTAACTCCCAAATAATCCATATTATTTTCGACCCATAAAAAATTATATCTATCTTTAATCTTATTTTTCATTTGTGCATCTAAATTAATGTCCAGAATCATAGATTTATTTATATTTAATTTATAATTAGATATTTTACTGTAGTTGTCAATTTCTGACATTAAAAAATCTAATGAAATTTCCGGTTTTGTTATGGTAATTAGGATGTCATCAGCATATAAACTTAATTTCTGTTCTACATCTAATGTTTTGTGGCCATAGATTTTTTTATTGTTTCTAATATTCTCGGCTAATGGTTCAATAGAAAGCAAGTATAATAACGGTGAGAGTGGACATCCCTGTCGTGTACCATTTTTCAGTTGGAACCATGGGGCTATGATGTTTGGTCCTTTAGTATGTGCTGATGGATTTGCATAAAGGGCCATGATGGCTTTCTTAATCCAACCGTCAAAACCATAGTGTGACAATATTGCCTCCAAATAAATCCAGTTGACTCTGTCGAATGCTTTTTCAGCATCAATCGACAGAGCCAAAACTGGAACTCTTTTTCTATTAGCGTCATCTAAGATGTTGACAATTTTCCTAATACATGTATAAGAGTTTCTGCCGGGAACATAACCTACTTGATCTTGATGTATGATCAGTGGTAAAAGTTTTTTAAGTCTAGCGGCCAACACTGAAGCATATAGTTTAGTGTCAACATCTATCAAGGATATTGGACGGTAATTTTTAACATCAGTAGGGTTTTTATTTTGTTTTAAAATTGGTAGAATATTAGCTTTTAACATCTCTGTTGGAAGAGATCCTCTTTTAGCCGCACTGTTAAAGGCACTAGTCATATAAGGGCAAATTGATTCTTTAAATATTTTATAAAATAAATTACTAAATCCATCTGGACCTGGGGTTTTATACTCCTCCAAATTATTTATAGCTTTCATTATTTCATCTATAGTTATGTCTTTATTTATTGCTTCACTTTGTAATTCTGTTAATTTGAACTTGTTTATTTTTTCTAGATATTTTTTTATATCATCATCTGTCGTAGTTTGAGGAATGTTGTATAACTTACTATAGAAATCATTGAATTGTTGTCCTATTAATTTTGGAGTTACTACAGTTGTTCCATTGTTAATAAGTTTTTCTACTTTATTTATACCCTTTTGTTTTCTTAATTTTTGTGATAGCAGTTTATCGGCTCTATTACACTTAGAATAATATTTTAATTTTAATCTATCTAAGCTTTTAGCTGTTCTTTCCATTAATTTTTGGTTAATTTTGTCCTTTAATGCCGATATTTCTTTGGAATTTTCAACTGTTGGATTATGTTTATTGTTTTGGGTCAACCTCCCTAACTGACCATAAAGGTGAGATAGACTAGTACCCCTATCGGTTTGGCTTTGGAGTTTAATGAAATAACCTCTTATTACTGCTTTAAAGGCGCACCACAAAGTAGATGGATCAATATCCTCTGTGTTATTTTCTTTAAAATAATTACCTATGTTTACTTCCATGAATTTTTTATTTGTTTCAAAACTAAGCAATCTGTCATTTAGACGCCAACTATATGGCTTTTTTGTATTTTTTCCTACTTCTATTACACATACTACACCGTTATGATCTGTCCAAAATGCTTCGTTTATATTTACTTTTTGAATTTTATCGATTAGATTAGGATCAATCCAAATCATATCTAACCTTGAATAAGAAAAATGGACTTTAGAGAAGTGTGTATAATCTCTTAGATTTGGATTATGAATCCTCCAAATGTCAAACAAATTAAATTCATCCTTTATGTTTTTTAAGGATTTAGCTTGTTTAATTACCATCTTATTTATTTTAACTCCTTTCATAGTTCTTTTATCTAATTGTGGGTCGATAACTGCATTAAAATCTCCAGCCTATATTAAGTTTCCCACTTTTACTTCTTCTATTTTTTCTAAGATAGATCTTAAGTGAGAAGCTGGTGAATAATTTGGGAGATAGACATTACAGAGTGTAAATATCTTAGAATTGATTTTACATATTATTATCAAGTATCTACCTTCTACATCTTGTATTTGTTGAATTATTTCTACCTCTATTTTTTCACTGAATATTATGGCTACACCACATTTTTTTTTATCTCTATTTGAGGCTTGTATAATGAGCGGGAATTTTTTTCCACCCCACGTTTGTTTATCTGACTGTCTCCAATGGGTTTCTTGCAGAAATCCCAGATCAATATGTTCAGTGACCAAATATTTATATACTAAGGACCTTTTTGTTATTGTATTCATGCCTTGGACATTAAGAGTTAACATTCTTATCATTAGAGTTCTTCAAATCTCTTTCCTTTCATCTCGAGATAGTAAACTTCCCTTTGATCCTCTATTGCTATACAAACACACAAAAAACAAAGAAACATATATCTAAAACTATAGGAGGATATCATCCTCCTTAAGCACATAGACTATTGACTCACCAACAGGAGAGTCTGTCTAGTCCTATGTCTATTAAATAGACACTAAGTAGGATTGTCCGGATTTGGGATTTGGGCGATGTTCTATATTAAAACCTTTCAGTCTATTTTACAACAAAAGGGAGAAAAAAAAAAAAAAAAAACCCTAATCACTCAGTTAAATATAGCCATTATAAAATAAGTGTCAATTAAGTGAAAAATATTTATAATGATCCATTTATCATCGTGTTTCATTACATTATTTCCATGTGACCTTTCTTTTTCCCTATTTCTCCTTTCTGTGCCCTTTATATGCAGTGATAAGTGAGTCAATCCATACGGTTTTTCTAATTCAATCTTGTGTACCTATATACAGATTTAATTTTTAGCAAATTTAACCTTATTGAACCAACTCATTATTTCTTATTAGTGTTAATTATAATTACATGTGTCGTATATTGCAAATAACAACCTTTATTTCTAAAAATAAACTCCTTAGTGAATCTATGTTTCCATTCTATGTTCTTTCTATTTCTCTTCCCTTCCCCTTTTCTTGCTAATATATGTGCAGATAATTTCAACAAATTTCATCCTCTTTTACTGAAAAAAAAAAAAAAAATCTCCAGCCAGAAAGAAACACATATATTAACAGCCTAATGGGTAGTCCTCTTTTTCATTTCTTTTCTCTTTCTCCCACCCTACGGCCATCTTAACTAAAATGTGAACAGGTATTTATAAAGACTATTGTGTCTCCTTTTACTTCAACAACTTCACATTGTTTTCATGTGCTTTTATACATTACAAATATCCTAAACTGCAGCAGTATGCATTAAGAATATTGAAGATGCTATTGTTATTCATTGCAAATAGCGTAAGCTTCAACTATATGCATATAAAAACTACTTTTCTTGTGTAACGTTATAATAATAGATTCTCTTCCTTCTTAGAATTGACATTGAAAGATTACATATATTACAAAAAAAAAGAAAAAAAAAAAAAATTTCTCTCTCTTTTCTTCCTTCCTTTTTCGTTCTACTTCCGCAGTCTAGTTGTTTTCATATTTGAATTCTTGCTAACCAACTTTTCGCTTCTTCCGGGTTAGTGAAGGAAAGTCTTTCTTGTCTCCAAATGAATTTCAAGGAAGCCGGAGTATTCCACTGAAATCTAATGTCTTTTTTCCTCAGAAAGTCCGTAAGAGTTGAGAAAGACTTCCTCCAAGTTCTAGAAAAATAAGATAAATCTTGCAAAAAGTATATATCTTTATAGACAGGATTTTCTAAAGGGTTAGTACGTCTGGCTTTAATCAAGTTGTTTTTAGCTGAAAGTGAACGGAAGCTCACTATAACATCTCTTGGGAAATGTGCTGCAATTACGTTAGGTTTTCGTATTCGATGAAATTTTTCTATTTAATAATCAGTTATCTCAGGAGAGACTTCTTTAAATAGACAACATAAATAATCTTTTAATTTCTCTGTTGTTATATCTTCAGGTATTCCTCTAAGTCTTAGATTAAATTGTCTTGATCTGTCTTCTAGGGCGGCTATTTTATGTTCCAAAATTGAAGTTTTATTTGTTAATGATTGCACTGTTTCATTAACTGTGCCTAATTGATTGTCGAACAAGACAAATTTTTTTTCCATAGCTTGCACTGATATAGCAATTCTGTTAGTATCTTGTTTTATATCTTCAAGACTCTTAAGCATATCTTGTTTTAGCATATTGAATTGAGCCTCTAGTAGTGATTTAAGCTGATCCTGTAGAATTTCTTTCATTGTTTCAGGAACTAATGATAATTCTTGCATCATTGAAGGATCCATATTGGTGTTAAGAGTATTTACTGGATTTGTTTCGTTATCACTTTTACGTTCTTGTATGTCTTTTGATGGGGTCGAAAAGAAACCGGACATCCTTTTTTCTACTGGATGAACTGACTTATTTTCCTTATTTTCTTTCTTTTTTTCCATAGCAGTTTTTCTAGTTGCCATTTTGTTCTTAAAAAAAAAAAAAAGCTGTCAAGCTATATTTTGCTTCCCTTCTCTTTCTTCTTTCTTCTTCTTTACTCTACTTATATAAAAAAGTATGTATATATTTAGTAATAGCAATTTCACTGCTATTCACTATTTACAATTTTCTAATTACTTTCATTAGTCCCTGGCCTTATCTTATAGTTAGGATAGCCTTATGCCTATCCCACGCATGCTTAAACTCCTTTACTGTGTTAACCTCTACCACTTCAGTTGGAAGGCTATTCCATGCATCCACTACCCTCTCAGTAAAGTAATACTTCCTGATATTATTTTTAAACCTTTGTCCCTCTAATTTAAGACTATGTCCTCTTGTTGTGGTAGTTTTTCTTCTTTTAAATATAGTCTCCTCCTTTACTGTGTTGATTCCCTTTATATATTTAAATGTTTCTATCATATCCCCCCTGTCTCGTCTTTCCTCCAAACTATACCTGTTAAGATCCTTTAACCTTTCCTGGTAAGTTTTATCCCGCAATCCATGAACCAGTTTAGTAGCCCTTCTCTGAACTCTGTCTAAGGTATCAATATCCTTCTGAAGATACGGTCTCCAGTACTGCGTACAATACTCCAAGTGAGGTCTCACCAGTGTTCTGTACAATGGCATGAGCACTTCCCTCTTTCTACTGTGAATACCTCTTCCTATACAACCAAGCATTCTGCTAGCATTTCCTGCTGCTCTATTACATTGTCTGCCTACCTTTAAGTCATCAGAAATAATCACCCCTAAATCCCTTTCCTCAGATGCTGAGGTTAGGACTCTATCAAATATTATGTACTCTGCCCTTGGGTTTTTACGTCCAAGATACATTATTTTGCACTTATCCACATTAAATGTCAGTTGCCACAACTCTGACCATTTTTCTAGTTTACCTAAATCTTTGCCATTTGGCTTATCAACCCTGTTACATATATTAGTATCATCAGCAAAAAGACATACCTTACCATCAAGACCTTCTGCAATATCACTAATAAAAAATATTAAAGAGAATGGGTCCAAGTACAAATCCCTGAGGTACCCCACTGGTGACAAGCCCAAGCTTCGAATATACTCCATTGACTGCAACCCTCTGTTGCCTGTCACTCAGCCACTGCCTTACCCATTCAACAATATTGGAATCCAAACTTAAAGATTGCAGTTTATTGATAAGCCTTCTATGTGCAACAGTGTCAAAAGCCTTACTGAAATCTAGGTAAGCAATGTCTACTGCACTACCCTGATCTATAATTTTAGTTACCCAATCAAAAAAATCAAAAGATTAGTTTGGCATGATCTCCCTGAAGTAAACCCATGTTGTCTCTGATCTTGAAATCCATGTGTTTTTAGATGTTCAACAATCCTATCCTTTAACATGGTTTCCATCACTTTCCCCACTACTGAAGTAAGGCTTACTGGCCTATAGTTGCCAGATTCCTCCCTATTACCTTTCTTGTGAATGGGCACAACATTCGCTAACTTCCAATCTTCTGGGACTACTCCTGTTAACAATGATTGGTTAAATAAATCTGTTAATGTTTTTGCTAGTTCACCACTAAGCTCTTTTAACAGCTTTGGGTGTATTCCATCAGGTCCCATTGATGTATTTGTCTTTACTTTTGACAGTTGAAATAGAACCTCTTCCTCTGTAAACTCACGTGTAATAAATGACTCATTTATCCTTTTTTTTAACAGAGGTCCCTTTCCTTCATTTTTATCTGTAAATACCGAACAAAAATATTAATTGAGACAGTCAGCTAGACCTTTATCCTCTTCTACATATCTTCCTTCTTTTGTTTCTAATCTAACTAATCCTTGTTTACTTTTCTTTTCTCATTTATGTATATAAAAAAAGTTTTGTCCCCCTTTTTTACTGACTGTGCTATTTTCTCTTCTGTGTGTGATTTGGAAGCTCTTATAACTTGCTTAGTCTCTTTTGCCTAATCTTATAGATCATTCTGTCTTCCTAATTCTGTTTTTTTTTTTTATAATTACTAAATGCTAACTTTTAGTTTTTTACTATTTTGGCCACATCTGTGGAGTACCACAGTGGTTTCTTGAATTTTTTGCTTTTACTGACAAGCCTAATGCAATTTTCTGTTGCCTTCAGTAGTGCAACTTTTAAATAATCCAATTTCTCTTGGACTCCATTTAAATTGCTCCAGTCTGATAATGACTCATTTACACATATTCTAATTTTAGAAAAGTCTGTTTTTCGTAAGTCTAAAACTTTTTTTGTGTGTGTGGTGTGACTCAGTCACTGTTCTTATATTAAACCACACTGACTGATGATCACTGGATCCTAAACTTTAATTTACAGTAATATCTGATACCAAATCTCCATTTGTTAACACTAAATCGAGTTGGCTCCTCAAGGACTTGTTTTAGAGACAATCCCAGTAGGGCGTTTAGAATATATGTGCTCCTGGCACAAGCAGCTATTTTTGTTTTCCAATTCATATCAGGAAGATTAAAGTCACCCATGATGATAACTTCCCCCTTCATTGTCATTTTAGCTATTTCCTCAACTAGTAGATTATCTAACGCTTCTATTTGCCCTGGGGGCCTATAAATCACACCTACACGAGTTACTGTGTGATTACCAAATTCGAACGTAACCCAAACGGACTCTATGTTCGCCTCACTTACTTTTATTATGCTAGATTTTATGCTATCCTTCACACACAGGGCCACCTCACCCCCTTTCTTGCCTTCCCTGTCTCTTCTATATAAAGAGTACCCTGGTATTGCTATGTCCCAGTCATTTTTCTCATTATACCATGTCTCAGTAACAGCAACTAAATCTACACTATCAGTTGCCATTATTGCCACAAGTTCATGGATTTTATTCCCTAAACTGCGAGAATTTGTAGACATGACTCTAAGCTTATCATTTTTTAACACACTTGCTACAGGCACCTTCTGTCCTTGTTTTGGGGGACAATTGGATTGATGTTTTATCACCCTTTTGCCCCCCCTCCTAGTTTAAATACATCCTAGTAAAACCTCTGAACTGCTCACTGAGAACATTTGTTCCCCTTTGAGAAAGATGCAAACCATATTTTTTGTACAGGTTATTTCCATTCCAAACAGAGCTACCATGAGAAATAAAGCTAAACCCTTGCTCCCGACACCATTCACCAAGCCACAAATTAAAGTCCCTAATAAGCATCCGCCTGTCGTTCTGAGTGTTATGCACAGGCAGAACTTCTGAGAATGACAGTGTGGAATCAACCTGCCGTATATCATTGGCAAAAACACTAAAAACTTCATTAACCTCTGAAACTTCATTGCAAGCCAAGTCATTTGTCCCTAGATGGACAAGTACATCCAATTCACCTCACAAGACTGTACTTGAGTCTGTAGGAAAATTCTATTTATAAATTTAGACTTAGCATAGTCTATTGTTACATCTTGTTTTGTGCAGTCAATCCAGATGGATCCAATTACCTGATCTCACCTGGTTCCCATCTGATCAATAGATTTCTATACAAGCCACATCCTACAAGTCTAACTCCTAAACCCAAGTTCCTGATTCTGACCTTGGCTTATTTACCTGTTTAATTGAAAGCTTCCTGGTGTTGCATATTTTATGCCAAAATGGTATAAATGTAACCTGGCATTAAAATTAGAATTTGCACTTGTTAATTCTCTTCATTTTCCAGCCTAGAGATCAAATTCCATGCCGACCTCAGACCAAGAAGACCACAAATTCATGCAAGAGTGGCTTGACCAACTGGAAAACTGTTCCCTGGGACTGATGAAAATATTAATAAATAAACAAACACAACAATTAACTATTCTAGACAACAAAATCAATTTATTAAAATAAAAATTAGCCCCTTTCAAAGAAGGGCAGGAATATAAACATTCAATCTTAAGGCAAACTAAAATCGAAAAGGTGGAAATTCAAACACAACATATTAAAATAAAAAAATATATGAGAGATAAGCAAGACTACAATAATCAACAAGTTAGAACATACCACACACAAAAAAGAGACACTCCACCCAGCTCCCCTGTTAGAGGCAGTAGCCACAAAAAATCTAGGCAATATCCTCAATACCAACACGTCCCTTCAAAATAAATGCACAGGCACCTACACTCCAAAACAGATCTCATAGGCCTTCCCGAACAAGATACCCACCACAGAGACGTTATACCACTGATTTCTACCCATCACATCAACCAGTTACTTCCCCAAACACCTGCTCTTCAAAAAACTCACCAAAGTCTCGGATAGATTCTAACAATACCCAAATTAAAAATTACATTTCACCACAACCAAAAGGAAAACGATCACTACCACTCACTTTCTAAAACCAAAAATCACCAATAGACAAATTCTGAAGGCCCCTCTGTCACCAAAGGAACTTATACAGAGAATTTGATTCTTCACCTTATCATCGGACTACACAGACACAGATGATATTTTTTTAGAAATAGGGACCTCACAACGCACATCACACATTATAGAAGAAAGAAGGAGAAAAGGGAGCCTAACACCAGGGGAAGAGGAAGTGAGTGAAGAGTACAAAAAAGGCAGGAGGGAGTAAAAGTCACAAAAGACCAACAATTTAATCCAAAAGACCAACAATCAAATCTGAATTCAGGCATTTTTAATTTATCCCAAAGAGTCTTAAATGCTACAAAATTGTCTGGCTTAAGAAAATGCTTAAAATACGCCCCCCACCTGAAAATTCAGTTCTTTCTCAGCTTTTGTTGATATTAATAAATTCATGAGAAGAGCAACTCTTAAAAGATTTTATGTTAGCCACACCAATTCAAATGTAGATAACACTGCTAAGTCTCCTCAACACAAATATACTAATCTAAAACCCTCTTCCATCTTTTACCCCTTCCCATTTTAAATCTAGCTACCTGGATATTTTTTAAAAATTAGTCACCAAAGATCTGAAAGAAAATTAAAACTAACGAATCTGATCATTTTAGTTTTACCAAAAAAGAAAAGAAAGCTGTGGAAAGTCTAAAAAAAGATGAAAGCATTATTATTAAACCCGCCGATAAAGGAGGTGGGCTAATTATCCTACCTATGGAAATGTATATGAATGACGCCTTATGCCAACTAAACGATACTTCTGTATATAAAAAAAAAACTTTTATCCGAATCCAACATTACAAATATTTTAACTGATTTTATTTAAACAAGGGCCTTAATACACAGGTAATTAATAAAAAAAAAAAAGAATATATATACATGAATGTCATGCATCCTACCATACCAGTCATCTATTTTTTACCTACAATTTACATGAACGAGTAAAATCCTCCCGAGCCCCCTAGAGTATAAATTCGATTTGATCAAATTTATCAGAATATTTGGACACTCGCCTTGAGGAACCTTATGCCTCAAAGATGTGTTCTTATTTAAAGTACAGTATGAGCCTTCTACAAATTTTTTAAGATTTTAAATGACAACAAAACAATATTTTAGTAACAAGCGATGTCCAGTCCCTCTCTATTATTATCTCTCATAATCAGGGATGCGAGGCCATTAAGAAAATTCTTGTGAAAGACAATGGCATCCCTGAGACTCTTATTAACTTTAGCTTAGAGGGCCTGAACATTATTTAAACTAACAATTATTTCTGTTTCTTTATTGCTTTTATTTACAGCAGAAAGGCACAGTTATGGGCACGATGGTGGCTCCTAGTTATGCCAACCTATTTATGGCAGACTGGGAGGATTCTTTTATTTGGTTAAATCAAAAAATGGAATGCATATCTGATTTTTTCCATAGATGACTTGTTTTTTTTATTTGG